CATAATTACGTAGTTTTTCTTTGGCGTTTTAAGTCCTAATACAAGGAAAATGCTATTATGAAATTTGAATTGAACATTTTTGGAAAAAAATTGAAAAGTTTCGGGCTAAACTGAAAACTGCCATTGAGTTGATCAATATGTGATTTTACTTGAACATTTATCACAGTGTGGGCGGTTATTGCCGAGAACCAGTGTCGTTACAGCCATTTTGTCATGTGATTCCAGCTGAAATATCTCGCTCTAACGTAGCCAGACTTCACTGCTGAGACAATTTGCGTACAAACATTAAGTTTCAGGGATGTTTACTGAGATTGAAATCAGGGGCCTCAGGTGTTCACCAACAGAAAGAGCTCCGCTGATCTGGTGATCTGGCAGGGCGCGTCTATGTCAGGCCAGCTTAACATTTATTCAAGGAGCAATGTCGATCCTGTATTTCATCGGGTTATATAAGATATCTTATATAGCTATAAGGGATATCTTACAAGATACGAGATACTTTATTTAACGTCGCATACAGGTAAACAAGAAACATTAGCTATTGAGAGCTAATATTGCGACAAACATATGAAAAATAACAAAATCATATTATATTACAAGTAAAGGGAGATAATCACATATATAATACATAACAAAAAGCAGTAATAATTGTCACAGTAAAAGAAAGTATCCATATCCCAGGTTTCTAAGTGATTGGGAGTCCCCTACCTACAAAGGCCCCCGGGATAAGACCCTTTTAAAACAAAAAATATTTATAAAAAAATGTGTTAATATATGAAAAGCATTAAATGTGATCACAGATAAGTAGTATTCAGAATAAGTAAATAAAAGACATAGTTAATAGTGAATGAATACTTGCATATCACACAAGAATTACTTAGGACTTAGGATTAAAACACTATAAAGTGGAATATACATACAATGCTAACATAGCAAAGAACAAAAATTGACAGAATATACACTTCTATAGTGCGAATTAAAAAATGATACCGAAATCAATTAACAAAATTTATCAAGTTTTGTAAAAAAATATTTTTAGAATATATGGAATTAAAATACTAATAATATGCTGCAAAAATATAGAATATGATTAAAATATAAAAGTAATGAAATAAGACAATAAAAGTATCACACAATCGAAAATGTCAGGTGGCAGAGGTAACCAGGGCACAGTATGAAGTATCACTCTTTGCAGATATTGCAAAGGCAGATGGGGTCATCCCGGAAATGGACCAGCCTCCTGAATTCTTTGAAGTTTTCAACTTTTCGGAAGTAATTTGGGAGACTGTTCCACACTCGGGCGGCCCCAAAAGCAAACGATTTATGTCCATACTTCACAGTGTTGACCCTGGGCACCTCTGCATTATTTTTCTTTCCTGAAGTCATAATTAGACATCTTAATATTTACAAGGTTATGAATATATTCAGGGGATTTTTTTTATAATTTTAAAAACCTCACGACCCATTTCCTTTAGACGCCTTACATGAAGCCTGTCGCTGTTGGTAACGCTGAGTAAGTGTCTTAAGGGTGAGTTGTGAATAAACCTTAAAGCTTTTTCTTGGATCTTTTCTAGCTTTCTGACACTCTTCATAGAACAAGAGTGCCAGACTAAAGGAAAGTAGTTAAAATTTGAAACAAGAAAAGAATCATAAATTACAAGTCTATCTTGTTTGGTTAAAAAAACTCCCAATTCGCTTTAAAATGGACAATTGCGTTGAGGCTTTAAAACAAAAATTTGACCATCATTATTGTGTGCCCTAATCTCTTTTAAAATAGTTTCATCAGAAGAATCTTCTGTACCAATATCAGAAAATTATATAGTATATAAGATATCTAATACAGTTTTTTGAAATAAATGTTAAGTTGGCTTGCCATACGCGTCATCATTTGAATTCGGGAGTATGGTGACTTTGTGTACATTACAATTTCAACCAATATGATACCGCTTACACCGATCCTGTCTTTTATGCCACCACTGTGATTGTATGCCACCATTGGATGATGTTAAGGAGATGGAGGTACATTACGGACCGTTATTCCGAACCTAGTCTATATTGGTTTATTTGCCAAATCAAGCTGACTGCGTTAATCAATGTTGAATGAATGATTGGAGGAACATGGTCAATCCAATTTAGTTCGTTAATTAAGAAATCATATATTTTTTCATATTATATTCTTATAAGTACAACCGAGCATGCGTGGTCAACTGATGTTGCGATAAAGACGACCTCATCGTTATGTGGGTAATGATGTTTATTAAAGCAAGTTTTGACTCTCCGATGCATATTTTGTATATGTACATGTTTTGACGGACTGGATCGATATCTATCTGCTGCTGTATATAGAATTGTAGTAGTGAGAAAACCACACTTCGGTATAACAGTAGACGTGTGTTTGTTTGGTGTATATAAACGGAAGGACTTCATTCACTCCATTTGCTTCCTCCCTTAGGTTTTCAAACTCACAGTTACTTTTTTACTACTGAACCCACATTTTTTCTTTGGTATGATTTATCATGTATATTGAAGATGTCAATAAATCGAAAACCTGCTTTTTAGTAACTCATTTTATCAGTTTCCATTTCTCCGAATAAAATACTTTATTATATCACTTGTCAAAATAGGATCAAGTAGTGCTGATGAGGCAAATGTTGTCTGAGTTGGTTCGGTTTATACGAATCAGCTGCTGTCCAGGTTGGTTTTTGCGGTTATATAAGTTAAATAAATTGAGTATATAAAGGTCATCGTCGCTGGGTCATCATATAACATCTGCGTTACAGTCTTCCATGAGTAGTACCTAACTAGTTGTTATAAATGTGAAGGTAATGTCTAAAATGAGTCGTACACCATCTCAATTATTCACATTGGATGGCGTCTAAAGATTGCTTAATATAACAATTGCAGACAAAATGACGCCGTGAGTGAAATAATGACGTCACATTATTATTAGGCCACATTACGCCATTATGTTCGGAATTCATTATTCCGTCAAGTGTTTAATTTGATAAATTGATAACAAACTATGATTTCCAGTCCAAAAAGTAGTACGGACTGAAAGAGTAGTTAAAACGCAACTTGTCTCGTCTCAGTGTGTAATACAAACCATTGTTAAGCAAGGTCTGAAAATGGCTCTATCAGTGTAAAGGTGCTTAGTTCGATTTATCATCGGCGGTTCATCTCGCTATACACGGTGGAAGACCGTTTCTACATGTCTAGCATTGGTTGATTTTCAACAGGACAATTTTGTAATGATCTTGTTGTAATTAGGGACATTTCAAACGGAATCAGCGCTGTGTAATGATATCTGGTATTTCATAAACTGAAAGGGCGTTGTAACTGCGCATTTGAAGTGCAAGCATCAAAACATTACAAAGCACTCACTACTGTAGTACATCTTCTCCAACATAGACACCAAACAAATTACACTCTTACTTCTAACGCACACATCACAATATCTCCGTCATATCACTATTCATTTAAAAATGTCGATAATAGTCTCTTAGGGAACATACACCAGTGACAGATCAGGAGTCACTTGCGCTGCAGGTTTATTTAGTAAAGCTATGATGCTATAACAGTCGATTACAGAATATATCGGTTAGCAATAGGGTTATTCCAGGAGATAACTACCTACTGCAGTATTTCTGTGACTCTAAGGTCATTATAGTAATACAGGTTTCAATAGTTGTGTATATAACAATCAATGACGGCTCTTTCAACACCTTATAACACAAATAATAATTCGAGGTTCTTATTTACCGTTTTATCACAACCTAGTTTGCAGGTCGTCTCAAAGTGGTTCACAAACTATTATCCGTGGTTATAGGGCCTTTCCGACCAGCCAATATTTTTCTAAACTCCATGCTGCCATTTAGGCGTTCACAGATTAGCATTCAACAATTCTAACAGTGCTCATTTACAACTGAGTTGACTGGATCAATCAGATGTAAATGATCTTGTTCAAAGATACAACACAGTGCCGTGCCATGACTCGAACCCGCAACCCGCAACCCGCAACCCGGCGTCCTACCACTAGACTACCGTTTCTCCTAAGCCCTTATTTACCTCCACAGCTATCGTTATACTTACTAGTTCTACCTGTTACACCTGTCAATCGGAGGCTTATAAGGCCAAACATAGAAATGACGCTTTCTCAAACAGTGAACAAAAACTAAACAGTTATTACACCGAAAAACTGTATTTTGAACGAAGGATACACTATTACAAAAAGATTTACTTATAAAACGTAAACAATACAGCGTCACCACACTGTCTACTCACAAGGAGTGTCACAAAAATGTCTACTCACGATGAGAGTAACCGAACTATCTACTCACAAGGAGCGTCACCAAACTGTCTACTAACAATGAGAGTAACTGTGGTAACGACTCTGAGGATAGCCGATATATTTCAAAGTAGATTCATAGCGAACACACAACTCCGGAGACCATGCTGGTTCTTACATTACTCACTTTATTAGTAAAGAGTTACTTCCGGTGTTCCGGTTGGGTACATGCTAAAGTACTGATTATATAAGATGGACATTACATCTCTCCCTTTTTTAAAAATTAAAACATGTTCATAATCATTGACTGCACTTTTCATAGTTTATTTTTTAAATGTAATGATATAATAATTTGCATTGTCTTTCCACTGAATGTCTTTATCACTCGGTAAACGATTATCATTGTCAAATCACTTGAAAAATAAAGAATGATTTATATAAATGGGTTTAGAGATCTTATATATTTTTGTTAACCTTCATCACACTGGAAATACTCAATTATCGCAACAATGACAAAACTCGAGGTTAACTAGAGATCTCTGGGTCTCAATGACTAGCGGGGATTATTGTGCCCCAAACACTGCAAGTCATTACTAATTTTGCAAAGGGCATCATAACGAGTGTTCTTTTTCCTCTCTCTAGCACTCCTGCGTAGTGGCGGCATCACCTCGCAGTGTGTCGATACAGTAGGATTAGAGCTTACACAAACAGGCTGTTTTTATGGAGTGTTTACTGGTTTACCAGCTTCCGAGTCCTCCTTCAGCTCCTCTATTTCCTCATAAAATTGCTGCTTACTTTGTTGTCCCTTTCCTGGACATTGGTTTATTTTTTTGAAACGCGATACATTTCTTGTTGTTTTACCATGAACGGTGATCATGGGACCTTTCATGTTCGTGACGGTCCTTGGCTGTGGATCAAACGCCGTTGTGAGTTTGTTACCTTTCATGTCCTGCTGCACTACAACAACATCACCAACAGATATATCACTGTCTTTTGCATGGTTTCTAGCATCAGCGTACAATTTCATTTGACATTTCCTCTTACTGTCTCTTTCGCGAACCTGTTCGTGCAGGGCGTTCTGTTGTCTTTCAGCAACCTGTGGCATCTTTGTTCTTGGTTCGCGACCAAACATAAGTCGGTACGGTGTCTGTCCGGTCGTGCTATGTGGCGTGGTACGGTACTGCCTCAAAAATCCAAATAACACCTGTCGCCAGTTCTTTTTCTCATAATGAGCTGCTCGCACTACCTTCATTAGCGGCTTATTGAAGCTCTCGGCTTGGGCATTAGCTCGAGACCATCTTGGGGTGATGCGTCTGTGATTAAACCCTTGGTTCAATGCATACTTCCGGAAAGCTTCTGAATTGAATGGACTTCTGTTATCGCTTTTTACTGTCCTTGGGGTACAAAATGTGCTAAACACTTTATCAAGTACTGGTGTAGAGACAGAGCGCAAAAGTTCTACGCAGGGGTATTGTGAAAATTCATCTACGAGTACCATCAAATATTCTCTAGTTGTCAAGGGTCCACAAAAATCGACGCTGACATTTTCCCCATCGTCCTGTAGGGAGTTCCGACATCCGTAGTGGTTCCATTCTTGTTTCCGGTGTTGAATTTGACATGGCATACAATCTCTCACTGCTGTTTCGACCTTACTGTCAATTCCTGGAAACCATATCTTTGAGCGTATAAATGATTTTGTCTTGGCCATCCCCTGGTGTCCTTCATGAGCAATGCGTATGGCTCGATCTCGTAGTGATGCTGGAAGTATGATTCTGTGGTCCCTCAGCAAAATGTTGTCAGATTGAACAGTTAGCTCATCCTGAACACTCTTGAAGGCAGTTAGTTTCTCCATATCAATGTTCTCTTATCTTCCAATATTTTTTGTATCATACCATCGTCCATTCTGGTGAACTCAATGGTTTTCTGTAATGTAGGGCTGTGTAGAGTAGCTTCCCATACCTCATCAAACTGAAATGCACAGGGCAGGGCTCCCTCTGTCACAAATTTGACATAACATTCTGCAATCTCCTCCTGTGTAGAGTTCGTGGATTTAACAGGGTGTCGAGACATGTAGTCAGCAACATTTGTTACACCAGGTTCAAACTTGATGTTAAGTTTATACGGCTGGAGTCTCAAACCCAACCTTTCTATTCTTAGACTCGGGAGTTTCTGTTTCTGTCATATTTTCTCCAACGGTTTGTGATCCGTAATGAATTCTTTTAGTCCCCTTAGTCCCCTTAAATATGTAACATAATGTTCACATGCCCACACGACCCCCAAAGCCTCGCGCTCCACTTGACTGTATCTTGATTCAACAGGCGTCAATGACCTGCTTGCATACGAAACTACTTTGTCCTGGACAAGAACCGCACCTAGTCCAATAGGGCTGGCATCGACCCTCACCTGAACTGGTTTTCTTGGGTCGTAGTACGCCACCACGTTGTCACATGATAACTAGTTTTTCTGTTTTCTGAATGCCATTTCACATTCTTCATTCCAGTTCCGCAGTGTATCTTTGTGAGTTAACTCGCGCAGAGGTTCACAGATTTCCGCATATCCTTCGATAAAACGAGAGCAATAATTAGTCATGACTAAAAAGCTTCTGAGCACTTTGACATTTTCGGGTTGCTGGAATTCACGCACCGCTTTGACGTTTCTGGGTCAGCCGAGATTCCATCTTTGCTGAAGGCTACACCGAAAAACGAGATCTTCTCCTTCCGGTATTCACACTTACTTTTGTTCAATGTAAGTCCACTATCGCTGAGCCTATTTAGTGTCTCTCTCAGGGCGGTGTCATGCTTCCCAATCTTGTTTTTGCCATAGATGATGTCGGATCATTTCCTTGAAAACTTCTGACGCTGACGAAATTCCAAAATTGTATCTAAAGAGTCCCAAATGTGTAGAGAAAGTTGTGATGTATCTCGAGTCTGCCTCTAGCTCAAGTTGGTGGTAACCACTTCTCAGATCCAGTTTACTGAACATCTGAGCACCATTTAGGTCCAAGATCAGCTCGTCAATGGTGTGTATCACATGTCTTTCTCTAAGTATTGCTTTATTGCCCTCGCGCATGTCCATACACAGTCTGAACTCATCAGGGTTTTTCTTTGGCAGAGTGACAATGGGCATTTTTGACTTTATCTCTGAGGTGAAATGGAGTCCTTCTGTGTTATTGTGCTACTGAAGGGACATCACTGTTTATGTGGAGCTTTGCACGTCTATTTCTTAGCTTTCCTATGCCTCTAAACAGTTCAGGAAACTCGTCCTCCACATTGCCAGCTTGAACTTGTCGTACCACCTTCAGTAAAGAGAGCTTTGTAGCTGATCAATAGCCAAGCAGCGAACCACAGGTTGTTTTTTTTTGTCTTTAAAAACGTCGCCTTAGCTGGTTTAATTTACAGTTCAGCATCACCTGTGTAAGGAATTCTTTGTCTATATTTGTAAACTCACAGTCTTTCGCCAATTTTCTAAGATCTGTAACAAATTCGTCCAAAGATTGCCCTTCTTTCTGTGCGCACTAGCGGAAGTTGTAAACTTCAATTTGTGTGTTCTTTCTCGGTTTAAAATATGGCGACAATACCTGTTTCGTAGCAACATATGTAGTTTCTGATTTTCCTTTTTGAGCTTCACATAGTCGTATGCTTTATCTCCTTCGTAGTGGAGGAGTAGGGCTCTCCGACGAGTGTCATCGTCTAGCTCCATTGCTACGAAGAGGTTTTCAAGTCTGTTAAGCCATCTCTCCCATCTGGGGCCGGCACTCGACTTGTCGACGTCCGAATCAAATGGTGGAAACGCTGGGAGTTTATCCAAGGTTTTCCTCGTCGCCAAATGTGGTAACGACTCTGATGATAGCCGATATATTTCAAAGTAGATTTATAGATAACGAACACACAACTCTGGAGACCATGCTGGTTCTTTCATTACTCACTTTATTAGTAAAGAGTTACTTCCGGTGTTCCGGTTGGGTACATACTAAAGAACTGATTATATAAGATGGACATTACAGTAACCAAACTGTCTACTCACAAGGAGCGTCACCAAACTGTCTACTCACAATGAGAGTAGCCAAAACTGTCTAATCACAATGAGAGTCACACAACTGTCTACTCGCAATGAAAGTAACCAAACTGTCTACTCATAAGGAGCGTCACCAAACTGTCTTCTCACAATGAGAGTAACCAAAACTATCTACTCACAAAAAGAGTCACAGAACTATCTACTCAAAAGGAGCGTCATAACAACGTCTACTAAGAATGAACCACACCACACTATCTGCTCACAAGGAACGTCACCGCACTATCTACTCACAACGAACGTCATCACACTATCTACTCACAATTAGAGAAACGAAACTGTTTACTTACAAGGAGCGTCATAAACTGTCAACTCACGAGGAGCGTCAACACACTGTCTACTCACAAGAAACGTCATCACACTGTCTTCTCACAAGGAACGTCATCACACTGTCTACTTACGATGAGAGAAAACAAACTGTCTACTCACAAGAAACGTCATCACACTGTCTACTCACAAGGAGCGTCATAAAACTGTCTATTCACAAGGAGCGTCACCACACTGTCTACACACAAGGAACGTCATCACACTGTCTACTCACAAGGAGCGTCATAAACCTGTCTATTCACAAGGAGCGTCACCACACTGTCTACTCACAAGGAACGTCATCACACTGTCTACGCACAAGGAACGTCACCACACTGTCTAATCACAAGGAACGTCAACACACTGTCTACTCACAAGAAACGTCATCACACTGTCTACTCACAAGGAACGTCATCACACTGTCTACTTACAAGGAACGTCATCACACTGTCTACTCACAATGAACGTCATCACACTGTCTAATCACAAGGAACGTGCACACACTGTCTACTCACAAGAAACGTCATCACACTGTCTACTCACAAGGAACGTCATCACACTGTCTACTTACAAGGAACGTCATCACACTGTCTACTCACAATGAACGTCATCACATTGTCTACTCACAAGGAGCGTCATAAAACTATCAACTCAAAAGGAGTGCCACACAATTGTCTATTCACAAGGAACGTCATCACACTGTCTACTCACACGGAACGTCATCACACTGTCTACTCACAATGAGAGAAACCAAACTGTCTACTCACAAGGAACGTCATCGCACTGTCAACTCACAAGGACCGTCACCACACTGTCTACTCACAAGGAACGTCACCACACTGTCTACTCACAAGGAACGTCATTACACTGTCTAATAACAAGGAACGTCATCATACTGTCTACTCACAAGGAACGTCATCACACTGTCAACTCACATGGAGCGTCCTAAAACTGTCAACTCACAAGGAGTGTCACCACACTGTCTACTCACAAGGGGTGTCACACAACTGTCTACTCACAAGGAACGTCATCGCACTGTCTACTCACAAGGACCGTCACCACACTGTCTACTCTCAAGGAACGTCACCACACTGTCTACTCACAAGGAACGTCATTACACTGTCTACTAACAAGGAACGTCATCACAATGTCTACTGACAAGGAACGTCATAAAACTGTCAACTCACAAGGAGTGTAACACAACTGTCTACTTACAAGGAACGTCATCACACTGTCTACTCAGAAGAAACGTCACCACACTGTCTACTCACAAGGAACATCACACAACTGTCTACTCACAAGGAACGTCATCACACTGTCTACTCACAAGGAGCGTCATAAAACTGTCAATTCACAAGGAGTGTCACACAACTGTCTATTCACAAGGAACGTCATCACACTGTCTACTCACAAGGAACGTCACCACACTGTCTACTTACATGGAACGTCACCACACTGTCAACTCACAAGGAGCGTCATATAACTTTCAACTCACAAGGAATGTCACACAACTGTCTACTTACAAGGAACGGCATCACACTGTCTACTCACAAGGAGCGTAACCACACTGTCTACTCACAAGGAACGTCACCACACTGTCTACTCACAAGGAACGTCACCACACTGTCTACTCACAAGGAACGGCATCACACTGTCTACTCACAAGGAACGTAACCACACTGTCTACTCACAAGGAACGTCACCACACTGTCTACTCACAAGGAACGTCACCACACTGTCTAATCACAAGGAACGTCAACACACTGTCTACTCACAAGAAACGGCATCACACCGTCTACTCACAAGGAACGGCATCACACTGTCTACTCACAAGAAACGGCATCACACTGTCTACTCACAAGGAACGTCATCACACTGTCTACTTACAAGGAACGTCATCACACTGTCTACTCACAATGAACGTCATCACATTGTCTACTCACAAGGAGCGTCATAAAACTATCAACTCAAAAGGAGTGTCACACAATTGTCTATTCACAAGGAACGTCATCACACTGTCTACTCACAATGAGAGAAACCATACTGTCTACTCACAAGGAACGTCATCACACTGTCTACTCACAAGGAGCGTCATAAAACTGTCAACTCACAAGGAACGTCACCACACTGTCTACTCACAAGGAGCGTCACCACACTGTCTACTCACAAGGAGCTTCACCAAACTAATAACTCACAAGGAGCGCACCACTATGTTTACTGACAATGTAAGTCACCACACCGTCAACTCACAATGAGCGTCAATACACTATCTACTCACAAGGAGCGTCACCACACTGTCTATTCACAAAAACGCGTCACCACACTGTCTACACACAAGGAGTGTATCCATACTGTCTACTTACAAAGAGCGTCACCAACCATCTACTGACAAGGAATGTCACCACACTGTTTATTCACAAGGTGCGTCACCACACTGTCTACCTATAAGGAGCGTCACCACACTGTCTTCTGACA